GGGGTATGGAGAGAATTGGGGTCAAATATTAGTGTCTAGGCGGACCGGCGGGCAAGACAGGTGATAGGGTACGCGCGGTTGAATTGAGGTCTTCTCCGTCTCTGGGGCGACCCTTTTCCGAGGCCGGCGATAAGCCGTGTGCGGTTGTGTTAGCGACTTTCGCCGACAGATACTGCGCCGCTGCTACAAAGTTCTTTTGAGCGCACAATCCCGGTCTGCGTAGCCTGATGGCAGCTGCTTCTATAGCAGCCAACAGACGCTGTCCAAATAATTATGAATAGCCGGAGGGCACCTTGCAGATCACTCGGAAATCTTCTCTGGCATCCACGCGATGGTTTAGGTCTATCATGTGTGCTAAAATAGAACTATTAATGCTCTTTCCTTGGCCCTTCTCCAACCATGCCGGAAGGTGTTCTCGTACTCCTTTGGACAGTCTCTGTCTCGTGCGACCAATTTATGCTGTACCACAGGAACAGGTGAATGAGTAGATGTAAAACGATGCGGTTTGGCCTGGCAGTTTGTCCTTTATTCACCAACCAGCATAGTTGATTTATTTCATAGCCATATAAGTGTACAGGCCTGAAGAGAATTTATCGAAAGCAACCATAAGCTCGCCGGTTTATTGGGTTGATATTTACAATGGGAATTTTCGCAGAGTTTTCATTTACTCTTTAGTTAGTTATTTATGCTATAGTCAACTATCGTGTTACTTAAAGGAAAACCACACTCTCTTCTTCTTCTTCTTCTTCTTCTTCTTCTTCTTCTTCTACCGCTTCCCAATTAGAAGTGAAGTAAACCTTGAGTTCCGGAGTCTCGAGAAACTCACCATCTTTTTAATCATCAACAGTTTTGGACCGATAGAACGACTGACAACGCAGAAACGGAAAAGGAAGGCGAAGCCCATCAGCAGACAGATTGCGAAACATAATCTCGCCAACCAGAACAAAATGATATATCCCGATAGACTTTGCATGCTGGCGACGTTGCCGAGGATGAAGAGGCACATAAACCCGAGGAACACGATGTTCCACGTGTCGTTAAAGTACTGCTTGAAGTCCTGTCCTTTCACAATGGCCTGAATAGGGAAAATATTAAATATATACATTCGTTTGAGCCTTCAAATTCATGCAGGTGTCTATCGGCACAGATAAAAACAGCATCAGAAGGGGCGACAGTTATAGAAGGTACAACCAACATTTAATGTGTAGCATGCAGCAAGGTACATTTTAAAAATATATTTTCCACTGATGCCTAATTTACATAAACAGATAGCACGAAAGATTAAACGTGTTTGGTGCACTTGCCATCATAGAACGGGGCATACAAGTAATCAAATATAGGGAAAAATGCTCCAGTCTAAAGAGATAGGCGATTTTCTTGCTGGTCCCGAAGATAGACTTGTGACACAGTTCGAGGGTCCGATCAACAATGTGTTATACTTAGTGTTAGGGGGAAATGAACAAACGGAGCAATCGGCGAGCGAAAATCGCTCTCCTAATGGACGTCAGTTTCCTATGGTTTTATACAGATTGGATGTAGATTAGACATAGATGTAGATAAATATATATTAGATGTAGATTTATATAGATTATCTGATTACTAAAGTACGGTTCATTCTTTTAATTATTAAATACTGTTGCTTTATTCATCGTTTGCTCGTTGTTTGTTGTTGCTTTTATTTTTATTGTTTTTACTTGTCGTTCTTTTCTATCATTTTTCTTATTTTAATATTCTCTAATGCTTTCTACCCTACAAGAAGTCATATTAGGCCCACAAACGGAGGATAGAGTGAAAGCAAGATCAGGCAAGATCAGGGGAGGGATGTTAATAGATCAAAAAGGTCAGATTCAAGTCATAAATTGTTACCAGCGAGGACGTAAAGGGGTGAGGGGAAATGACAGGTAGTTCTTGTCGCCCCGTCCTTCATGTCTCGCGATGTTGTGAGAAGCCTGAGGACGTAGTGACGTGGGGGCCTGGGCATGCTGGTTTTCACTGTCTCTTCACCGTCTACCGGCACTGTACGAAGCGTGTGGGCGGATTTTGAGTTGGGCCACGGCAACGGACACCGTACTGCCAGTTAGAATATCTTCCTCTTGCGTAAACGGTTTTAATAACGGTTTTTACTATCCATTTTACAATTTGATTCTTATTTTCATGCATTACTTTCATGCCGGCTCAAATTTGCGACCGCAGAGGTGTAAGAGGGGAAATTTTATAAATTTATTCATAAAATGAACCCAGTCTCTTCGGTTCTTGTATTTCTTTCTCCTTATTTTATTTCATAGTGGTTAGGCTGAAGTAGCCAATAAGCAACCAGCACATGCATCCAATAGGAAAGCGATTTTCGCTCGCCGATTTCTTCGCTTGTTTATCCCATGTTAAAACGACCAAAACATAAGTGAACACTCTGACCGTTCGATTGTCCAGCACACGGAAGCGCGCTGCAAGACTATGCACGACCTGCAGAGGGTCGACATCGCGGGAAAGTCTGCCTGGGTAGGCGCTCGCGGTGGACCAATAAGAGGTCCTTTTTTGTCGTCCACCTCTAAGACCGTACATTCTTTGAGAGTTACAGGTCTCTGTTATTTCCGGCTGATAAAGCTTGAAATTCTCCACCTCCCTTCTCCAGCAAAAATCCTGTTTGACCTACGCATGATTTTTTCCCTCTTACGAAGGCTGCCTCCTCTTTTCTGAGCCGCGTGCCCATGTCTTCTTCCTCCCTAGCATGCTGGTCGCCCCCGTGTGTTTACCCCTTTCACTCGATTGCACACGACTGAATACTGCCCTCCCTCGCAGTTCGGCTCCCTTACGTGTTATAATCTTTTCCTACAATGCTATCAGCTACCCGCCAGAGACAGTCGTTTTGACTCCCGGAGATTAAATCTTGTGAACTAAATTTGTGGTGGAGAGCCATCTGTCCGTTCCCCTACCCTCCCCCCGACAAGCACGCTGCGTGCCAAATAGACGTGGTTATCGAAGAGTCCCTCCAGCCACCCCCCGCCGCGTACAGTATCATATTTAGAAGAAGAAAAAGAAGATGCGACCACTGGAACAAGAGTTTTTTTCCTGACGTTCCTGCTTCTGTTGGGAATCCTTAAGTATAAGTAATGTTGGGATAGTCAGAGGGAGGTACCACACCGATTTCTTGCCGTGGTCAATGTAAATACTCGTCACAGTGGTTGTTACGAAAAGATAAAACAAAAAGGACAAACCATGAAAGGTGCCAGGACTATCTAAAACGTACCACTCTAATGTTTTCAAGCAGAAATCCAGCGGCAATGGCGCAGAGAACACCATAATATATTGGAGAATAGTAAAACGACCTCCCGAATACGATAAACAGCGAACATGCGATAAGGAGCGCAACACAGAGAAACTAAAAGTAATCAAAACGAAAGAATTTAATATGGTAGTCTTATAACTTCTGGTGTGAGACACGCGTTCTAATCGATAAAACACTCGAAGGTGGATACCGTCCAAATGGGGAATATTAGGAAGGCAGAAGCGTTTCAGTGGACATGTTCTCAAACAGTCAGCTGCCCGCATTTGCGCAAAATATCTTCCATCTCAGTTACCATAAATTAGTTTGACTCATGAGATGTGTGTACTTTGGACTACGCGTAACCTTCGATAGAAGCCCATCATGGACGAAGAAGTTGTCGGTAAACTGACAGATAAAAACCTCTTGGTAGGGCTTCCTTGTGGGGCCGCTTGGGAAACGTGTGAAGCACGCCCCTCAGGCTCATGGGCACCTGATTTAAGAGGACAGGACGGGTGGGGCATGTCACGGAACAAAATAGATTGCAGAAATCCTGTAAAATAAAAAAGTTACGAGGGTAAGTTACGTACTCAAACCTCTGGCAAGGACACTGAAGTAGGCTTTAATATCACCGCTTACCCCCCACCCGACCAATGGCGAACGCGTGTATGTCGGGGGAGTGTGCCCTAACCTCGGGCAAGGTCCTTGAGGTACATTCTATAGTGGTACTACCAAAACCAACTAGAAAAAAAGTTAACGCAGTACAAAAGCGGGAATATTGTGGAAATCACCCTACTTAAAGTTTGTAAGTAAACGATTATTCCCGTGGTTAATTTAAAGGGCTAATTTTG